AGCCCTCCGAGAAAAGTTTTGGTACGCTTCCCAAAACTTCCATAATCTAGTTCATAATCGTTCAGAAAAGGCGGTAGCCATGCCCCCAGAAAAAAATTTTTCTAAAGCTCAATTGAACTTTTAGAAAATTCGGAGATGTTTCAACTACTTACAAATGTAAACACAACTTGCACATTCTTATAACTCATGTAATGACTTTTAAAAATTTTGCGAATAATTCTTGGGAGAGCTCCCCCCCCCCTTCGGTACGCCAGTGAAAAATATGAGCGTAGTTGTATCTATTTTTCTTGGTGACAATTCAAGTCAAATTAGGCTCAACCTGTTTCAAAAAGGGAGATTGCTTACCTAACGCTAGAATTTGTAGGAACAGCACCTTTCACTTCATTAAACCCAATCCAGCTTTGTCCAAAATGCACACTGATGCAGTATTGCTTGAAAAGTGGAGTGCCAAGGAAGACATCTGGTCCCAGACCAGCGCCTGACTGAATAGCTAATGCGAGGACGCATCTGTCTTCTATCTGTAACGCACATCATATAATTCTTCAAAAAGTTATATCTCGAACGACTCAGACCTAAACAGTTTTTCTTGTTAACCAACGACTACAAATATTTTCTCCGAAATGTCAAGAAAGTGGTCATCATTATCTTGGAAAACGCTTCAAAAGCTTTTGCGAATTTCGCAGAACAACCAGCATTCAGTAATTCAAGGACTATACAAAGCCCCTAAAATGGGGATCAATCAGTTACCTTAGTGATAAACTTATCCGGTGATATATGAAGAAGTACTTGTGCATAAGTGATAGTCAGATCTGGTATGGTGTCAACTTCATCACAGTTGACTTCGTAATATCCGTTAATGTACTGCAAAAGCAAAAAATCTTCATCACACGGTGAAACGGCAACTGTACCTCGGCTCCTGCACAGCTGGCAATTCCAGCGACAAGTTCTGGAGGACCACTGATAAATGGGACCAGTTCAAGCATCGCCTGGTAATTGTGGGGCGGAATGAAGCTCCCCATTGAGATTTTGGTCTAAATTTTGTTATAATGAGATGAAGTTTACACTTTTTGCACATCCGCTTGGAGCAATAATTGCTCTTCAAGGAGAAGCGAACCTAGATTACATTACCTAAAACTACACATGACCTTACGGACGCGACACACACTACGAATGAATTGTGCCTGAACAGGGCCCGGCACAAGGTAAGCAAATGACAGGAAATCGTTTTGGGTGAAAAAAGAAAAAGGGGTGATTGTTTCTGCGGGGCCCGGGGCGAAGCCCCGACAAAAATTTGGTAGTTCATGCTCTCTGCTCATCTTAACATGTTAATACGTGCCTCAA